ACACACACACACACACACACACACACACACACACACACACACACACAGAGGGGAGATGAGATTTTAAAAGAATTCCTGACCTTTCTCTAAGCGGACTGACACATTCATCAATCCACAGGGCTGAAATGGCAAACTGGGCTAAACTTCCACAAGAGCACGAGCTGGCTGTCCAGTTGTGTGCTGGCAGACGCGTCACCATAGTCACATAGGCTTGTGGGTTTCCCAGTGAGGTGCACACTGAGATTGGAGAGCCAAGTCCCGGATGCCAGCTAGACTGCAATCTGGAGGGCGGAGTCAAAGCTGGCCCCACCCCCTGGGGAGTGGGGGTCAGGGGCAGCAGCACCTGGAGGGGTGGGTTTCCTGCCTTGTGTCCCTCCCCTGCACCTTTAGTCTGCTACCTCACACTCCTCTCCGGAATATTTGTGCTTTGTCACCATCCTGATGGCCAGGTTGCAACTGCAGAAAGGAAGGGACTCCAGCCATGCACAACTATGCTTGCTTAAGAAAACTGAAACTGCAAGAAGTAGAAGAAAAACCCCATTGAGCAGCTTTCTGATGGTGACAACCATTTTTGGAATTGGGTCTAACTCCATTTAAACAGGAAGACGAGGAAAGTATAGACGCCAGCAAGCTGGAACCTGGAAGAGACAGTCCAGCCCATAGTATTTGCTATGGTAACAGCTGATCTCTGGGACAACATGCCACAACCTTCCAAAGCTGTGAACTGAAGGAATTGAACAGCCACCAACTTTAAAAAATATATATATATCTGTAGGAAAGATGGCGGGAAAGGGAGAGGGTGGATTCAGATTCACAGATCATGCAGGGAAAGAGTAGACAGAAACAATTCATCCCGATTGTTCAGGGTGAGTAAGCAAACACTTCAAAATTTAACAGGGCCTGGATCATAACCTTTGCCTTTGGGAGACAGAAAACCAAACAAAACACAACCCAGAGGATGCCAGGGTTTCCAAAGCATCCAGCCCCTAATTTTGGTGGGGTTGAGGGTGGGGACGGTGAGGGAAGAATTATGAATACCTCTCATGAAGCTCCATTTTGTGGATTCCACGGATTGGTAAAGTTCAGGCTTACTTAGAAAAAAAAAAATCTCTTCTTCTCAAATATGGCATCATGAAGTCTCCAACACCCTTGCTGGGGTCCGCGTGGGAAAACACAACTTCTGTTGGTGATGAGATACTCCACCATGGCCCTTCCACGCATGTGCCCCCCACATCGCCTGCTCAGGCCGGTTCCCGGAGCTCAGCAAAAGGGCAAGCTGCTGACACTTCCAACAGTTCCTTGAGATGCATACAGCAGGATTCGAACACACCGCTGCCCTCCCAGGGAAAAGGGTTGATGAGTCTTAACTAAGATGTGTATTTCTGTCCATCCCTCCACGAGGGCAGAAATCCCTCTCCCCGCTCGTCACAGTACTGAGATGGAGGACGTGGATGGATGCTCCACAAATCTAAGTACATGTGGTGTCCCCCGGACCCCTGTTCCCCTCTTTCTTTCTTTTCCCTTTAGCCTATGCATCATCCATCCATCCATCAATTCATGGCTACAGTAGAGACTCACAGGCAATGACTTGCATACTGGTTATTTCTTTTTGTTTTCGTTTGTTTTGTTCTTTAATCTGTCAGTGAGCAGCATTTCCCAGTCCCCCCTCCCCACCAGAAAGGATTTCTTGGCAGCTCCATTGAGTGAGATTGCAGGACACCTCTACGATGGGGTCCCTGCAGCGTGGCTAGGAGTCCGGCTCGAGGAGGGTCAGGAAGGCTGGCTCCATGCAGTGTCTTGCAGCAGCTGGGCCAAGGCGATACCAGCTCTACCAGCTCGCCCGGACGGCTTCGATATCACTCACCAAATTCTGGGCCAGACATATCCCGAAAATCTGACAAAGGCAAGAAAACAGTCAAACAGTGTTCCTTCCCTGCACTTCTCCTTGGCTTGCTTTCTTTCTTTTCTTTCTTTCTTCCCTTCCTTCCTTCCTTTCCTCTCTCTCTCTCTCTCTCTCGCACTAGGGTTTAGAATTCTGGTCCTCCTAATTGCTAAGCAGATGCTCTACTCCCTGAGAGCAACATTCCCAAGTCCTTTTTTTGCTTTAGTTATTTTCAGGTAGGATCTCACTTTTTTTTTTTCCTCCTGGAGCCATCTTAGACTGAGAGCCTTTTACTTGTGCTTGCTAAGTCACTGAGATTACAGGTACAGACCCCTATTCCCAGCTTGATGATCGAGATGGGGGGCGGTCTCGCTAATTTTTTGCCAGGGTAGGTATACAGCTGCAAACCGCCTGATCTCCACCTCTCAAGTAAGTGTAATCTGATTTTTAAAAATTGAAATACAATCCATGTACAATAAAATGCCTCTTTACATGTGAATTATTTACTGGGGTTTCAGTATGTTCTAAAGCTATGCAACCATCATGACGACTAATGGCAGAACATTTTCATAGTCTCCAAACTGAACTCTGTGCCAAAGAGCAGTCGTTACTACCCTCAACAGCCTTGGAAACCAGCAAACTTCCTCCCTCCCTCCTTATTTCTCTCCCTCCCTCCCTCCCTCCCTTCCTTCCCTTTCCTTCCTCCCTTTTCTTCCTTCCTTCTTTCTCATTCTTCCTTTCTCCTTTTATTTCTTCCTTCCCCTTCCTTCCTTCCTTCCTCACTCACTTTTTCTTTCCTACTTTCTTTCTCTTCCTCTCTCTTTTTCTCTTTCTCTCTCCTTCCTTCCTTCCTTCCTTCTTCCTTTCTTCCTTCCTTCCTTTCTTTCTTTTCTTTCTTTCTTTCTTTCTTTCTTTCTTTCTTTCTTTCTTTCTTTCTTTCTTTCTCTTTCTTCTCTCTCTTTTCCTTTTCTTTGTGCTAGTACTACAGCTTGGACTCAGGGCCTGGGCAATATCCCTTAGTTTTTCCATTCAAGGCTGGTACTCTACCACTTGAGCTATAGCTCTGGTTCTGGCTTTTTGCTGGTTAACTAAAGATAAGAGTCTCTCACATTTGTCTGCCTAAGCTGGCTTCTAACTATGATCCTCACATCTCAGTCTCTCCTAAGTAGACAGGTGTATAGATGTGAGTCCAACACCAGGTCTCATTTCTTTCAATTACCTATCCGTGACCCTTCAAGAGAAGTTTCCCACCAACCACAGGAAAAGTCCAACTCCTGACACTGCCTAGGATAAAAATGTAGGTCCCCTTCCCTTGCTAGCAGGCTTGATCAGTGATTAAAAGGGGTATACCATCTGTATAACTCCCAAAGGCCTTAACTTGTCACTGAGCTCTATGCTGAGTTATCACAAGATAGTAAGAAACAATGGAAGACCAGCTAGCAAAGAGTGACCCAAATTATTGTCTCCATCTTGAAAAGGAAAATAAAAAGTTTCTTGAAGTATTTCAGGATCTAAAAATCACATCTTTAATAAAACACACATCAAACTCTCCAACCCTCCAACCCTTTCATGTGTCTTCAATGCAATGATGCTAAGGTGACCCAAAGCTATGGGCCTGGGAAGACTTCCCCTAGGGCAGCAATGCCCCGGGAGACCAGAGAGGATTCTGGTCTTACCTGCAGCAATGCAATGCCTATGAAAATCCCAGCCACGATGGTCAAATTGTCCTGCAGCCACTTCTCAAACTGGGGCACACAGCCTTTTGTGTAGATTACAATCTGCTGGTCAACTTCCTTCACAAGAGGAGAGCAGAGAGGAGTTACCCATTTGTCACCATGACAACCGGAAGGTCCTCCAAACACCCCGTTGTGCTAAGTCGCAGGCTGAGCCCACACTTACTGGTTTTTGCCTGGCATCATAACCACACTGAGTGTTGATGACATCTTCCTGGGGAAGAAGAAAGACAGAAAAGTGAAATTCACTCCTGCTAAAGAAAGTCCATCCATCCATCCATCCATCCATCCATCCATCCATCCATCCATCCATCCATTCATACCAGCCCATTCTGTAAAGTGGAGGCAGTTAAGATAAAACACTGGGGCCCAAGATCTATGTTCAACACTTTAGCTATGCACACCATATACATACTGTTATACTCTTCAGAAGTAATTATTAAAATATGTCTTGGAAGAAGGAAAATCAGAGCTTTGGGAGGGGTAGGGGGGTGGATGTCAAAAAGGACAGGGGGTCCTTAATGTAAGAGGCTCAAGATTCAACCTCAAGAAATTTATGGGGTTTAGGGAACAAGTGGCAAAAAACCCACACACTTAAAGAACACAATGACTATCTTCATATATGAAGTTCTGCGAGAGACTTTTACTGCTTCAGATGGTGGTGGGTTTGCACAGGAGATCTTTCATGGTTTCTCTACAGCTTTCTGTATTCATTGCATGGTTTTTCAAGGAGAATGTTCTGCTTTGAGTCATTACTCTTCAGACTCTTCTGGTTTTCCTGATACAGGACAGGAACAAGAGGTAGGGAGCAAGGTGTGCTACCTGCTGGGCAGGCTGTTAGCTGTGTGTCCTCTCCTCTCTGCGTTCCTCTCTGAGGAGCCAGAACTGAGCCAGTGGGACAGGAATCAGGGCAAGGGAGGAAAGCCCTCATGGTTCTAAGTTTTCTGGACAAGAACAGAAGTGGCCCAGTTGGCTGCTGGGACAGATGGCCTGAAGGAATTTCCCAGGCCCTACCTTGCAGGGAGAGCTGCGGTACTCACCTGCCCAGGTGAGCTCTGCTCATGAAGATGGGGTAGGCAGGGGAGAACACTGGGGCCAGAAGGGCCAGAGAGAGGAGGAAGCATCCAGAAGGGCTCAAAGCTAGGGGCATGCAAGGCGCCTTTCACCTAGGTGATGTTAACCCTTCTGAAGCTTACAAGAGCTGTCCACCGTGTGGTATGAGGCTAATCCTACATGAGAACGGCTTGAGAACAACCTGTATGTGATATCTTTTGCAAAATAAAAACACCAACTGCATTACTGTGGTCAGGATGACATCCTCGAGTCTGGGTACCAGTGGTCTGAGGTAAGGGGTCTACTTCAGCAGAGTCACACATCCTTCCCCTACTTTATGTCTGTGCCCAGAACACAGCGGAAAGAAATGGGTCACCCAACCCAGGCCAAGACAGAGCTCACATGCGAACCTGACCACATCATAAAGAAGGGAAAGAAGGGACACAGACCGGCGGCGCCCCACGCTGGCTCTGAGCTCCATCGCTGGGGAGCGGTTGGAGCTAGGTAGAGTTATTTATGCATTATGTGCCTTGGCGTCTTCACCTCCAGAGGGAAACTAATGAAGGTATCTGTTGCTAGGAATGTTCTACTGGGCTAGCTCATATAAAGGCAGAACAGCGTTGCTGCCTAAAAGCCAGGCAATGATTTTTGTTCTTCTTTTGTGTTGGTCCTAGGGCTTGAACTCAGGGCCTGGATCCTGTCCCTTCGCTTTTTCTCTCATGGCTAGCGCTCTCCCATTTGAACCACTTCCAGCTTTTCAGTGGTTTACCGGAGATAAGCATTTCAGGATTTTCTTGCCTGGGCTGGCTTCAAACCCTGATCCTCAGATCCCAGCCTCCTATGTAGCTAGGATGTTAGGCCTGAGCCACCGCTGCTCAGCTTAAGCCAGTGATCTTGCTCCCACTTGGAAGATGGATAGAAGCACTGTCCCCACCCGGGAAGTACAAGTGGGCACCAGCAGGTAAGAAGAGGTTTCCTGCACCCAATCCTCTGCCCATTCCCTTCCCTCCCATGCTGAGCGTGACCCAGGAGGAGGCCTTGTGTGCTGACAGTTGGGTCACTTACTGCGGGATCTTTAGTACAGCAAGAGAATGGCACGCCACATCGCTCTCGACTTGCATTGGAATCTGTGCAATTGAAGTAAATATTTAGGTTCCAATCATCAGCTCCAAAAGCCCCACAGCACTGCCACTAGAGCAAACAGGACACAATTAGAAGAGCTCCCCTGGGAGCCGCCAGGCACCCACCCACCACAACCACACCAAGCTCCGGCCCCTGCTACCCCCCAACCCTCCTCCTCCTCTTCTTCCCCTTCCTCCTCTGAACTATCTTGCAGCCAAACACAAAATGGCCCTTGTAATTAAGGCTGAAGGTGTATAAAGATGTTTGGCATGTGACTTAAGCCACAGATAAGACCGTGGATGGTCGGGGGAGGGAGAAGGGGGGTACGGCAGGGCTGAATGGAAGAAGATCTGTTTGACTTGGGTACAGCTAAAAGAACTAAACCAGGCAGCAGTCATGGCCAAGGGAGGCAACTCTTATCACTTGAGCTATGTCTCCAGCCCTTTTTGCTCTAGTCTGGCTTTTTGTTCCGGCTACCCTGAACACTCCTATTTGTGTTTCCTGCTGGTGTGACAGGCAGCCTTTTCTGTTGACTTAAGGGTCTTGAAAATTCTTTGCCCAGGCTGGACGGGAGCAGAAATCTTCCTGACCATCTGAGTGGCTGACAGATGTATACCATCACCATGCTTAGCTAGCTATTGGTTATGATAGGATCTCACAAACTTTTTGCCAAGGCTGTCTTCAAACCATGATTCCAATTTCTGCTTCCCAAGCAGCTAGGATTACAAGTAGGAGCAACCATATTTGGCCAAACTACACATTTTTTAAGTATATAATTTAGTAAGTTATAGTACATGTAGACACACACACACACACACACACACACACACACACACACACACATCCCTCTCCTACCATCTCTTTGTATTTTGGGGGATTAGATAAAGCACTTGCTTTGCATGTACCAGGCATTGGGTTCCATGCCCAGCACCACACACACACACAAATAAAAACCCATAGTTGAACATACTCATTACCCTAAATTTTTAGAAGCTTACTTCAAATATATTTGCTTCTCTAGTTAATCTTCTTAAAAACCAAGAACATGTGTTTCAATTTCAGCTTTCAAAAGTCAGTTATCTAATTCACATCTAATCAAATGAGCTGGTAAATTTAGTGGGCCTTAAAGTGGGGACTAATTATGGTGAATCCATTAACCCTTACCTCATTTACCTGGGAGAAATAGATATTTACATATAAATATAATACATTAATAGGAACATTAATATATTATCCATATATTAACTATGCTAATATATTAATATTATATATATTTGTGCTAATTCTGGGGCTTGAACACAGGGTCTTGGTACTCTTCCTTAGCTTTTTTGCTCAAGGTCGAGCCACACCCTCACTTCTGGCTTTTTGGTGGTTCATTGGAGGTAAGAGTCTCATCACCTTTTCTACCTTGGCTGGCTGTGAACTGCAATCCTCAGATCTCAGCCTCCTGAGTAGTGAGGATTACAGGTGTGAGCCACCAGCGCCCGGCCACCCCTTGAATATTTTAAGGCTTGAAGGACCAATGGTTATTTGAAAACATAAAAGCCCAGGAGAGTAAAACCCAGTCACATGAAAGAACAGCATTTGTGAGCAGAGCAGACAGCATTTCCAGAAGACGTGGGGACGCATGCTCAGCAGGCTCATCTGGTCCTCTGCAGGCTGGGCTGTGCATCTTTAGCTTTGTTTGCAAAGCCCCACCAGATTTGTCATGCAAATCAGTCAGGAAAAATACATGGGAAGTTGTGAGCTCGCATCTATTATGACCTAACAAATCAGTGAAGTCTGCTGAGGAGATGAAAAAGGCTTAATTTCACACCTGAGGTACAGCTGACTGCAGACAACCACGGCTGCCGCTGAACAAAAACTGACACAACTCAGCGGAAGCTCAGCACCTGGGCTGGGTTGAGCGGCTTTACTAAAGGCGGCCCTGGTCACTCTGGAAAATGGTCTGCTCCAAAGTTGGCCATTGGTTCCTGCACGTCTGTCTGCTCTCCATCCCGCAGTGTGCATTAATCAAGTGTGCTCAGATTACCTAATTCTCATATGTTTTTAAATAGGTAAACAGTGTAAGTTTATTTGAAAGAGAAAGAAAAGTCTCAACAGGAAACGAGCGAGGCTCTCTAAAGGGGAGGGGTCCCACAGAGGGGTCTGTGACCCAAGTTTGTTTTTGTCGTTCATGGGGCTTAAACTCAGGGCCTGGGTGCTGTGCCTGAGCTTTTTCATTCAAGGCTAGCACTCTACCACTTTGAAACCCAGGGTTTTCTGGGGGGTTAATGAGCATCTCATGGACTTTCCTGCTCTGGCTGGCTTCAAATCACTACTCAGCCTCCTGAGTAGCCAGGATTACAGCTGTGAGCCACGAGTGCCCAGCCTGGTACCCAGGGCAGATATATTCACAACTGCTCATTTGTAGAGCAATGATACCTCAGGCCTAATAGGAAAGTCTGTTCACTTGTGCAAATGTAATAGCATCACTATTGTTATTTTCATTTTACTGCTGGGAGAACAGGCCGAGGAGCTGCTAGTCCAGGGGCACTAAGACCCAGTGTCTCCTAGTCCCGGGTCGATATAACTTCGCCTGCAATAGGCCATGGGTCATCTGTAAACAATGCTAGTAGACCCAGCACAGGGGCCAGCCCCTGTGGGGTAGACCAGATCCCCAGGGTTAAGCAGCTGTAAGCCTTAGGAATTTTGATTTTAGCTCCACATTCATATTCTAGGAACTTTCTGGGTGAATGTCTAGAAGGTTACTCAAAGAGAGGTATAAGGAAGAATTCATAGTTCATAATAAAAGAAAACTTGAAACCTATACAAAAACAATGTTCTTCAAGAGCTGAGTTTTTAAAAAGGAAAGAAAAAGAAGAGCTCATTCCTGTAATCTTAGCATTTCAGGAGGCTGAGATCTGAGAATCGTGGTTTGAATCTAACCAGAGCAGGAAAGTCTATGAGACTTATCTCCAATTATCCACTAGAAAACTGCATATGGAGGTGTGGCTCAAATGGTAGAGTGCCAGCCTTGAGCGGAAAAAGTTAAGTGACAGTGCCCAAGGCTCTGAGTTCAAGTTCCAGTACCAGAACATAAAAAGGGGTGGAGGGTGAGCAGGTACCGCGACTATAACCTTTCTGCCCCAGAGTTCTCATTTTCTTTCCTCTAATTGAACACAAATAGAAACGAAACAGATATAATTCCTGGAAGTCATACAGCAAATGAGCCAAATGCTAACCAAGCAAACAAACTCTCCCCATACTGCAGAATGGCCTCAGGCAGTTTCCAAAATGCAGAAGCCAAAGGCACAATGGGTCATCCTGTAGAGAAGACTTTTTCCACTGGAAAATAAACTCAATTGAAACTTACATATTCCTGAGTGAAGTCTATGAGGTTCTGCAAGTCAATGTCATCTCTGTATGCTCTGATGTTGTTGTTTATAAAGAAATACAGCTGGTCTTTGATCCAGTCTTTGAAAACAAATGCCAAAACCCCAGCAGTGAGCTCCAGGAAGAAAATAATTCCAAGGAACACAGAAAACTAAGAGAAAAGACAGATACACAGAACAGTGAGCAGGGCAGCCCGTTCTGATCAGATGTGTTACTGGTTTTTGTCTAAAGAGATTGGTAATTACATTCGGTGATTGCATACACGCAAAGCAGATAATCTTCAGTTGCTTCAGATTTGCTAATAGAATATTACACTTCAAGAAAGGATTTTTAAGAATTAAGAAAAAAAAGTCATTTCATAATCACATTTTAGGTCTCTGGTGTTCCATTTGATAATTAACCAACAAAGCCCAAAGCAAACACAAATAATAGGAATTTCTCATTAGAACCACATTAAAGCCTAATGAATTGCCCGTGATTAATAAACTGGCATACACAGAACAATGACCTGCCCCTCTATCTACCAAGGCTTTTCCTAGCTTGAAAGAATAGATCATCCAGTATTTTATAGTCGCCTGCCATTTCCTTCTGTGCCCTTGCTTCTCTACATAATATATCCCTTTTCTAGAAATAAAAAAACGGTCAGGCATTAAAACTGCTTCAGTTTGGTCTTCATACCTACCATACAGTGTAAAAGATCCATGCCCTTTGGAGAAAGAGATGATTGACATAGGAATAAGGCCCAGTCGTGAGGATTTCTGGGGAATGATAGCTGCACTCACCTTCCTCCAGGAAGCCCTGAGCTAAGGAAATGTGTTAAATAACATCAAACTGAAGCCAGGCACCACTAGAATCCTAGCAACTCAGGAGGCTGAGATCTGAGGATGGAGGCTCAAAGTCAGCCTGGAAAGTCTATGATACGCTTATTTCTAATTAACCAGCAAAAAGCTGGAAGTGACGCTGTGGCTCAAGTGGTACAGCATCAGCCTTGGCAAAAATGCTAAGGGACAGCACCCAGGTCTGGAGTTCAAACCTTCGTACTGGGTGCAAGTGCACACATGCATGTACACACACACACACACACACACACACACACACACACACACCCCAAAATGCAGCTGAAGGGAGCCTTCTGGCTAAGGCAGGTAATGGGAATTAAGGAGTAGAGTCAGTAAGGCGTTGTGATGGTTTCTCAGAACTTGAGACATTTCCCTGTACCCAGGAGCCTCCTGCAGACAGATTTTCTAGGTCGTGTTTCCTGTTCCTGCCCCAGGTTCTTCTCACCTCCTACCTTTCTCTTCACCACCCCCTCCACCAATATCTCTGCTAAAACAGAGAGGCAAAGCTGTGAACATCCACGGGCCCACTGCAGTGGGCCAAGTCTTCTTTCCGGTGACAATTTCTGGTGACAGGGTCACACCCACTGAGACAGAGAGGGTTCAGGCAATGTGTGGTTTTAATAGTCAGCTACAGACCCCAGGTAGCCCACCAAATGTACGGGGGTGGAGAGGAGAAAGGGGGAGTCGGAGAGGAAGGTCCCAATGGAACATCACAGTTGCTCATTTAATTTTTTTCCAAATGTATTCATCAGTAAATGTCTTGTGAATGCCCAAGTAGTCAGGCTGTGTGGAAAGGTGGGCTTCGCAGCAAATGAGGATGAGGATGACCACCTCACCCTTTATGCCTACAAAGATCTTAGCCTTAAGTGAGTGGGGTGGAGGGGACACTGGGTGGATCCAACAGTGCTGAAATCTACAATGCAAAGTACCTCCTACACAGTGGGGGAGAAGGGCCAGGAGGAAATCAGAGCCAGCTCTTCAGGAACCCACAGAACTCCTGCTCTTCTGCCCTAGATTTGTCTGCTGGAAATAAAAATTTAAATAGTTCTTAATGATCATTGGCAGTACCGATTATTTCAAATGAAAGTAAATCTAGAAAAATGAACAGAGGGGGAAAAATCACATCCCTTCTGTTCAATACCTGTTCCTCCTAGACTGAAATGATTCTCTCCATGTGAGTGCCCTCCAGAGGCGTGGAAGTTCAAGTTCTCCTACAACAGGGATGATGAACTCACAGGTAGCATGCACATATGAGAAGTCCCACAAAGGCTTTCGTTAGATTGTTCTTGCTTCCATCAAAGTTAGGTAAGTCCACTTTCTGGTACTGGGGAATTTTCTCCTGGTATATCATGTACAGATTAAACAAACGGAATCCAAATTTAATCCAATTCCAATATTTGGGAGAAGCCTTCCATGCCTGGGCCTTGAGAGCTATGTCTCCAGCTTGTGAAGATCTAGGATGTGGTGCACAGCCTTCTACAAGGCCTGGAACCAGCTGGAAGTATGCGTGTTAGCTCAGGGACTTCCTCCGCCATTCTCTCTCAAGCTTCTAAAGCCATGGTGACATTTATATCTCTTGTATCTAGTAGCTCTGGGTCAAGAACTGTTCTAGGTCAGTTTTTATTCGTTGTATTAAAAATAGAGAGGCCATTAGAAATATTCACTCATGTATTTTAAAGCCACACTGCAGTTAATAAAATAACTACACATGAGGGAGTATGGAAGTTGCGTTGGTCTTAAAGTAGGTGATGCATGTTATTGGGGAGGGGGTGTATGTGTGTGTGTGTGTGTGTGTGTGTGTGTGTGTAAAAGGCAGGTAAAGTAGGCAGAGCCTTGGGAGACATAGACACAGACAACAATACCCCTCATTGCCCATTAAACTTTCCTAAGACAAAGCAGCCCTGTGCACAACTCACATGAACTTCCCAAACTTTCTGAGCCAGAATCACCCCAATTCAAAATGGGCTGTTCTGTGAGAAGCCCAGTGACTCCTCTTCCTCGGGATGATTAAAAACTGGTGTCAGAGGACAAGGTAGCAAAGCTGGGGCACACACACACACACACACACACACACACACACACACCACACACACACACAGAGCTGTGGGGATGAGCTCCAGGACAGGCTTTAGCTTTCAATGAGAAAGGCCCTGGATGATGTTCTGTCAGCAAGTTGGAAGTGATTCCAGTAATAGGGAGAAGGCTCTCTGGAAATTCTGTGTCTTGTTCTATTCTATAGACTATTACCTGTGTAGCTATGACTGTGTACATAGGAGAGAGAGAAGAATCCCTTGGAAAAGAAATACACACACATGCATGAGCACGCACATGCAGACACACACACAGACCTTAGTCCTAATGCTACTTTAGGAACTAGAAGGCAAACTTGTGTTGCACAAAACCTCTATGGACAGCAATAGGCGGGTGCTACTTAAATGATTAAGGAGGCTTGTCTAGAGCAGAGGGGGTAGGATCTAGAGTTCTCTTGGAAAAAAAAAAAGAAAGAAAAGACCCAGGCCATTTTTGTTTACACCTTTGGGACGGTTCGCCATCCGGCCAGTAGCATCCTCTTGGCCTAAGATAAGAGTTTGGCTGTCAGTCTGAGAGCAGAGATACTTACAAACTTGAGGAGGAAAGTGTTTTCTCGCAGTGCTCCAATGCACCCTGCAAATCCCAAAATGAACATCACTCCTCCCACCACAAGGAAGAGCCACACTGGGTCAAAGCCGCCAAGGTCGGTGATGGAAGAGATGTTGGACAGAACTCCCTGGAAGTAGAAAACAAAAAAAACAAAAAAATACATAGACACCATGGTGTGAAGGCAGCTCACCAACATATAAGGATTATTGCACTTGTCTTTGGGTATCATTTGTGTGTGTGTGTGTGCACACACACGTGCATGTGTGCGTGCATACATGCATCCGCCAGTACTGGGGCTAACACTCAGGGCCTGGGAGATGACCTTCAGCGTTCTAGTTCAAAGTTGAGGCTCTACCACTTGAGCCACATCTCCACTCCTGGCCTTTTGGTGGTTAATTGGAACTAAGCTTCTCACTGACATTCCTGTCCAGGCTGACCTCAAATCTTAGTCAGCTAGGAAGCTAGGATTACAAGGTATAAGCCACAAA